AAAAGAAAATGTGGCACTTCAAGGATACAAAATAGAAACCTATAACATTGCACTAGGCATAAATGAGTTGATGCACAACATTACCAAGAGTATTACCCCATAATGTATGATGAACGCAACAAAAAGTTGAGGCAAGAATAGAGAGTCAAGGGATAAAGAGAGCAATAAGGCATAATGAACCACACAAACGAAAAGCAACGATCACCACCAAGTAGAAAGTGAAGAGAGTTTATCAACGCCATACCTTACCAAGGAGTCAGCAAAACAATTGCCTTCTCTGAAGATATAGGTAAAAGACATTGTAACAAGTGAGATGCATAATGAGTCAAGTCCATTAAAGATGTGCCATTTGTTCTTATGAGCATTGCTCAATGGATTTTACCCATGAAAAGGCGATTTTGGAGTCCAACTCAATGGTTAAGGGGCAGTTTGCATAAAAAGAGGCTGCAAAAAGGCACAAAGCTTTGAGAATAGCCATCTGCTCGGTGTGGTTTAAGTCAAGCAATTCAAATGGGCTGAAAAAAATGCCAACGACGAGCCCATCAAAGTTGCAAAGTAAGCCTCCGTAGCCTGCGAGACATGGCTTGCTTCTAGCCAAACCATCAACATTGAACTTATACTCTCCCAAAAGGGGTGGCATTCATGAAATACCTAAATGATGATGAAAGGGAGTTCTCCTTATGAAGGAATTGCATGGTTCCGAACACCAATTCTAGTCATCAATAGCATCATCACCTTCACAAGCACGTATCCAAAACGTAAGTCATAATTTGATAAGGTAAAAGATTTGGAAACTGTCCCATAACTTGGAGTTGAAAATTAAGTCCTTATGTACCAACCATAAAAACCATAGAGTTGCATGTAAACAATCAACCATCTTTTGCGAAAAATGCCACTAAACAAGCAACCAACACATGCTTGCAAAAAAGAAGAGATTGAGTGAGGCATGTGCCAAGAAATGCCCCACCATTAAAGGACAAAGCCCTAGACAAGTCAGCTAAA